ATCTAATCTAATCTAATCTAAGTACCGTATATAATCTAAATATACAATCTAAAATATAGTGCAATGGCAAGGATGTACAGACTAAAGTTATTTGTGCAGTAAAGTGAACATGTGCAGTATATGTGAATTCCAGTACAAACATACGTAGTGTACAGAAGGACCAGAATTAGTTTGAGTTGAGAAGCCTTATGGCCTGGAGGAAAAAGCTCTACCTGAGTCTCTCTGTCCTGGACATTAGGCAATGGAACCGTCTACCTGAGTTTAGCCTGCGGAACAGAGTTTGCGGGGTGTAAGGAGTCCTTCATTATCTTAGTACCTCTGGACCTGCAGTGTTCCTTTGCGGTCCTTTAGAGAACAGTTCCCAAACCATACCGTAATGTTCATGGTCAAGATGCTCTCCACAGCAGCTGAGTAGAAGGTTTTTAGGATCACTGGAGTGACCCTAAATCTCCTCAGCTGTCTCAGGTGGTACAGCGACTTCCTCGCCCTGGTGACCAGAGTGCTGACATGTGAGTGCCAAGTGAGGTCCTCAGTGAGCAGAACCCCAAGGTATTTGATGTTGTCAACCCTCTCCACTGGAACACTGTTGATCTGGAAGCGTGAGAAGGAGCGCTGCTTCTTCTTGCTGTAGACCACTATCAGCTCTTTAGTTTTGCTGACATCCAGACTGAGGCAGTTGGACCTACACCATACCGACAGGTTCTCCACCTCCCTCTAGTAGGCTGAGTCATCGTTGTTGGTGATGAGTCCAATTACCAATGTGTCATCCGTGAACTTCACAATGGTGTTGGAGCTGTTGGAGGCAACACAGTCGTAGGTGTAGAGCATGTAGAGCAGGAGGCTCAGAAGACACCTTTGAGGAGTTCCAGTGCTGAGGGTGATGGTGTTGGACACACGGGGTCCCACTCTCACTGTTTGTGGTCTACCAGTGAGGAAATCTAACATTGAATTAACTGAATTATTCATTTGGAAGATCAGTTGATGTCATCCAACGATTCATGAGAAATGGTCGGATAAGTTAACAGTCATCCCTGGCATTAGAAAGTTGCTTCCGCCCTTTACCTGGCTGGTTTCTCGTTGTTCTCAGTGTCTCCTGCTTCAACTTATTCTTGTGTACTGCTATCTTAGACATTTTGTACCTGGAAGCAACCTGTTGCTCAGAGTAGCCTTCTGACAGCAGAACCAGGATTAAACCAGGATTTAAAAATGCAGATTTGTTTAAAAATATAGAATGGTCTCAATTTTTTCCACGGTTATATAATGAGAATACTTAAAGACAAACTGTTATGAAAAAGTGAAAGTATACCACTTCAGTGTGCCACTGTTATCATGGAAAACAATAATAATTGCTCTTATTTCATAATGTATTTTCAAAATAAAATGACATTTTAATTAGTTATAAATTTAACTATATTTTTATTTAAATAACTTACTGTGAGTAATTTGGTCCTCCATGTACTACTTCATATTAAATTACATTAGTACTTATGATTTTACAATAGTTCATGGTTGCCATGTTTGACAGATGGGCTGCTGGTCACAGGTCTTGTCTCCATGCTGGCACAGCCCTGAGAATGAGGACAGGTTAGTAACATGCAAAGAGTGGAAGCACCCCCACATGCCATGGTATCTTCCATTTGACACCTACCTGTGAAACACATGGAATACTCGACCTCCCCCTGATGGCCCTACGTGCTTGGTACGCTCCTCCCATACCTTGGTGGACTTTGAGATCCTTTCAGGGTCATGAATGACATGCCCTTCAACCTGAGGGAATATTTCACATTTACAATTTTTTTCATTTAGTAGATGCTATTTTGTTCAACACAACACATTTTTTTGTGAAAGTTAGGGTCAGACAGGCTCTGCAGGATAAGGGTGAAGCTCAAGGGCCCATCGGTGACGTCACTCTGCAGACCCCAGCTATTTGCCAGCATGGCTTGGCTGCTGAACCACTTGGAGCTCTGAATTTGGACCGGCACCTCCCCAAATAAACCCAACTCCATGCTCAACTAGAAGAGGTTACTAGCAAGTTGCTAAAATATTCTATTGTTAATAATGTACATACTACAGATGAAATTAACTGGTTTGTTCATGTTAATGGAATTTTCACCAAAGGACATGCTAAACCTTTTACACACACATACACATTCGAAATAATACTAATAATTCCTTATAAGCTTTGTAGTAAAATAACTGGTAATAATGGTGCAAGGACGATAATCCCACCAGGACTCCGCCCTCCTGGAGCACATATCCTGCAACTGTGAGATGCTGCCCCATACCTTCTCCTTCAGCCTCGCCAGCCTCCTTCCTCGCTCAGCCTCCTCATCCTCCTTAGCCTGTCTCTCCTGCAGCTTGGTCTCCAGCTTCTGAAGGTCCTACAGGCACAAAGAGGCTTGTCTGCACATCAGGGATGTTCAGTCAGACACAGCTGCCATCCAAACCCACATCACCATTCACACTGCCTTTCCCACCAGGCACGGACAGGTCCACTAGGACATAGGCCAGGGTCGGCTTTTTTGTGGTGTTTTTTTCTGTTGCAAACCTTAGTCCGACTGCCTAGGGTGCAGTTTTTAAGCAAAGATATTCATAAATAAAGCCAGCAAACCACACCATCACAAGACCACGGGGGTGTTATGAACCTCACCCGCTCCTGGAATTGTTTGATCCCTCTAGCTGCACACCTCCTTCTCTCCTCCATCTCTGCATGTTCTTGGGCTTCCTTCTCATGCACGAGGAGCTCCTCTTGTTCCTTCCTCTGCTGGATGTAGGCCTCCACCATCATCTTCACCTCTATCTGCTTCCTGCGCTCCTCTTTTTCCTGCCTCCTCTGTAGCACTTCCTCCTGAAGCTTACGCTGATTTTCCTTAGCCTCTTGCAGCCCGCGCTGTGTCCTCCATGCCTCTAGGTGGACCGCAGCTTCCTGCCTCTCCTCCTCCAGCCGGCACCGGTGAGCCTCCTCCAGCCCAGCCTTCTTCTGCCTTGTGGCGTCCTCTTCCTTAACCTGCTGCTGGCACTGTGCCTCCTTCTCCTGCTGCCGCTTCGCTTTCCATCGAAGGATGGCCTGGTGCACATTACACTCAGCACATTACAGTAGCAGCACCAGTACATAAAAGTCCCACATCTTTCTGCCAACGTCAAGACTCTATATCTACTGCAAATGTTCTATTCTGCCACAGACCACAGATTCTGGTGAAACAAAGTAAACTAAATATTCCCGGAGGAGATGTAGTTATGAAATATCCATCTCTAGGTTTGTGTTCTGTGAGAACTCCAAAAATATGCAACCCAAAGTTACTGGAGTTTGGTGGATAGTTTATTTCTGTATCACACAATGATACAAAGTCAAACCCACACACAAAAATGTTAGCCGAGCTTATTGTGGTCATTATTTTTGTGTGTGTGAGTTTGTGGGAGACAGCAGCACCCAAAGCGAAATGCAGACCTCCTTCTTTTTCTCCTGGAGAGACAGGAGCTTCTGATACCAATCCTCATGCTGCTGCATCTCCTCTTCCGCCTTCCCTGGCAGGTAGAGCAGAGCCTCTTTCCTGTAGGCTGGCCTTCCACTGTACTTGGTCCACACCTGTGCCAGTTGAAGAACAGAAGTTGAGAATCAAATTTTGTTGATTCATATCCCAGCTGGAAGACAGTGCATCTACTGCTTTTGAGTAAAACAATTTTGTCTCATCAAATTAAATCACCTTGAGGAAGGTATGGTGATCATACTGGTCCCAGCCACCCAGCCTGCCTCCAGTTCGCTGCAGGAAGATCTCGAGCTCCACCACCTCTGGTGGCAAGTCATCCTCCAAGGCTTGGACCAGGCGCACTTTGGCAGAGGGGGGAGGATCCTGGGGGCCTGCAGCCACACCCAAGGTCCAGGCCTCTATCTTCTTCTCAAGTGCACAAATCTCCAACCAGCAAATTCTCTCCGCTTTGCAGAGCTCCTCATAGCTACCAAATTCAAATCCCATAGGGCAAGACAGAGAGGGAGGGAAGAGACGGCTTTAGGGATGCGAGAAGGGGAGGAGAGGGAGAAGAGAGGCAAGGAGTAGACTGCTTCAGGAATGACAGAAGTGGAGGAGGAGAGATGGAAGGAGGAGATGGCTTTAGGAGTGAGAGAAGAGGCGGAGGACAAGAAAGGAAAGGAGCATCCAGCTTCTGGCTTGAGCATAGCAGACAGACATGTTCATTCCCACCAGAAATTAGTTGACACCCATATTAAGCAGCTTCACTGACACATGTACCCAAAGAGGATTGCAAATTAAACCACTTATATGACCATTTACATCAGGGTCCATCTTCCGTTCAATCCATTGTCATAGGCACCATACCAACGGCTACAGGGCTGCTTTTTACACTGTGACAGTGAGAAGTACGGCTCTGTCCACATACCCACGGCACTGCTCCTCCTTCAAAGTGCCAATGGAGCTCTCGACTTCAGTCATCAATTCGTTCAGCTTTTCAAGAACTAAGAACATGTGTACAAACATGATGAAGACAAACTTGATACAGGTTCATTACGGAAGCCTGAAAAGCGTGTATTGGACTGTAGGCAACACATGCAATCCCTGGATCTACGTGTGAAAATACAAGCCCTGCATTCCTCTGAACTTTATATCACAACACCACATCAAAAACAAGCATTTCACTTGAGCACAAGCTAATCTCCTTTGCCCTGTACTCTGACCAATACAGTGGAGCATAAAATGCGATAACATGCACACCTTTTCTCTGCACAAACACTGACCTTGTGCAGTAGGCTTCACGTCAGCCAGCTGCCCCCGGAAGCGGCTCACGCCATTGCAGATTTTCGCAAGTCGCTGTTGGAGTTTCTTGACTGGTTCGGGAAACGGGACAGGACTAAGCCACGTGACACCCCGTGTATGAAAGCTCCAGTTTCCAGCTCTCAAAAGCTCAACGGAAGGGGCTTTAGTCAGCCAAAAAGACATGAATCATGCATAGCTGACATCTGGCGGGGCTACACAGATAAATATTCACTGCAGAGTGATACCGCTGGAGCCGTGGCACTCGCCAGTGACAGCAGTCTGTAGCACGTATTTACAAACCTGCCGCTTGTGTCACAATCATGATAAGCGAGTGTCATGAGGGGTATGAGGCTTGACAAGGACTCCATAAGAGCGTACCTGCACAGGAATCTGCTATCAGTGACACAAGCCCCACCCCCCACCCCACCCCCAGGCCAGACTCCCCTACCCTCAGCCTTCCTGTCTTCCTGTAACCTCCTGCCCAGCTCCTCCAGCTCTTCAAAACCACCTCTGAACGCACTTCTTTTACTTTGAATACTCTGGCGCTTCTCTTTTTCCAGGACATTAATCCTATAAAAATGAGGAAAAGTAAAATAAACAATTAACCTCTTTTCAGGCAGAACGATGTTTATATTTTAAGGAGCCACAGCATTTATTCACTCCTGGTTGGTTGAAACACAATCTTGGCCTGGATTTGTACTTTCTGGAGCTGAACTCTGATTAACATTACTTTGGGTAAATAAACAATGTTTATTAAATTTACCATTTTAACAGCACAGCAGACTGAAATTTATTAAAACACTTCTGTGAATGGGAAAAACAAGCAGGGAATCCGAGCGGAAATCCTGATGTTAAAAAATTACAGGAAAGTGGTACATACTGTTTTCTAAACTTCTCCGCATTCCGGAGGAATTCTGCCTTCTTCTCAGAGGCCACTTTCTCTTTCCTGTTAAATTTATCATTGGTTTCAGCAGCGAGGAAGGTGTCTTCCATCTGTAGAACACAAGCTGATCTACAGTGACAATCTGGGAACCCATTTTAAATCAAAGCGACGTATTTGCATCAAACTCAAGGGGACTGATTGTACCAGGTTTATCTGAATTCCTGTTAGTTTGCTACCCAACAGTTTTTTGTGGGACTGACTAACCAGCTGTTAACTAGCTAAGTAACAGAGAATTATATGAATTATATATGTTATTGTACAAAAAAGTTAACTATATATTAACACAATTATTCCCCCGAAGATTATATTCAGATTATGTTACATATATATATGTAGTGCGTGTGTATATATAATATGTCTTCGATAGTCTTTATTGTCATTGTACTTCTACAACTAGACTATGCATGCCGAGCAAAGTAATACCTGCAAAAAAAGACACAATTAACCCATTATGCGATATACAATAGAATAAGTGGTATGAATGTAAAAGTAGTCGTTCGGAAGGTATATATTTGCAGGGTACTAAGATCTATTATGAGGCGCGTGACGTACAGGTTAGATATTTTCACCTTCAATATTCCCATATTTTTACCCTGTATCTCACTCCACCCATAGTACTACATTTTACTACATTTATTAAAAAATAATAATAACTTTGTATAGCTTCTTTACCTGGAAGCATGCCCCCGACGACGCTGTTGCCATGACAGTTGCTTTTGAATAAAACTTTATTTATTCCACCCATTTACATCCATGACGGAAACGGCGCCATTGTAGCATGTGGGTGGCTGTGAATACGTATGCATGTCCATTAGCCAATCAGCAAGTGGTCCGCTAGGGGGATCCATTGACGGGTGTCTGAACTTTAATCAATATTTTATCTGTAAAATTTTCTTAGAGCTACGCACGATTTAACGAAATATTTTATACAATATACAGTACAAGAAGGCTTTATTGATAGTACTCTTGGAGTTACAAGAGTCTTTATAAATTGGCAGTAGTGTATGCGTGTCGTTCTTTCATCGTTAGATGTTCCTTGCTGTTTTACTGTGAAATGTGAGTTAAGGATCATCATTTGCATTACTTGCCTTTAAACCGTTGTAAAAATCTCCCCTGGCGCTTATTTCCGAAATGTTCACGAAAAAAATCTGCCCAATATTGTTACTAGAATGCTGTATTTTTATTGACGTATTATATTTTGTCGTCTCGTCCTTTTTACGCAGCAGTATATGTGATAATTCGGAGTTTTTGGTATTTTAATTATGGTTTCTGCTGTACTATTTTCTGGACGCATAAGCTACAATGCGCCGCTTATGGTGTGCTGCTACGTATTATCAGGTATTCTTGGGGGTGTAGAGGTAGTGTTCACATCAGCCCCTGGTAGGTGGCGGTAGATTACCGACCGTGAGGGCATGACGTGTGGAATCGGCGTTAAAGTCGGGGGTTTAGTTTAGTTTTAGTAAATAAAATGTTAACCTTTTTGTACAAATGTATTAGACGGCATTATTCGCTAGTAGAGATGCTGTTTTGTGTTAGAAAGAACGGCTGTTGTGCCAGAAGAGATCTACGACTGATCGGGTCCTGCATTAAAAAATGGATTGGTATGATGCCATAAATCTTGAAGTACACGGGAGAAATATCAAATGGCCTGATAGATGGATGGATGGATGGATGGATGGATGAAGGATCAGTAGACCAGAAACAACACAACAGAATAAAACATAGGTTCAACACACCTCACTGGACCTTCTATTATTGAGCTGAGATTGTGAGTTTTAATCTTTTCAGAGCATAAAGGGTCCCAGAATAGCAATACAAATCCATTATTGAGCAGAGCCTGTGAAACACGCCGTCTCTTTGCTGTGAGGTCACATTTGTGCTCCCCTCTGTGTAAACAACAAGCGGGCCTGGCATGTGTCAGAATGAGCACAGTGAGCCTCTTTTTCCGTCTCTGATTCAGCAAACAGGAACGGCGGCATACAGATAAGGTCCCAGTGGAGGGGCCCGTTGTTTTTCTGGACAACAACTGACAAGATATTTTACAGCAAATCAAAAAAATCAAAGCCAATACATCAGTCTAGAGAGGCCGCGGTTGGAAAACAAGGAGAACATCACCTCGAAAAGTTACCACCACCTAAAAAAAAATTCAGATCTTGAATTTACCAAGACTTAACATCTAAAACAAAAGAGAAAAAATATATCATCAGTATTTTGGGGGATACTGATACAGTCGTACTGCACTGTTGTGAGTCTACTATCATTTTAACCTGTTTTTCATTCTCATTTACCCAAATGAGCATGACAGTGTGAATACATCCTCAGTATATTCCGTAGTAGGGTTGATTGCCATGTCAGTGTGTCACCCTCTTTACCCTGAAAAGTAAGCTGCTGCTGTACAGTAACTTTTTTCGTCTTAAAGATCCAGCTGCTTTTGAGCTCTACAGAAAGGAAAACGGCGTTCAGGTGAACCTGACAATGCTGGAGACTCTGTACCGAAGACCGTGGGCGTGACTCTACCAGTTTGCGGGCAGATCCCCGCTTTACAGCCCGAATGTCACACTCTGCCTCATTGGAGGGGGATTTTTATTCAGAACCTCGCCGAAGGTAACTGGCAACCCACAGATACCTGACAGCTCTTCTCCCGAGAATCTGTGCAGGACCCAAATGTGAGCTGCGAGACCATTAAAAACCCTGCAGGCCCAGCAGACCTTCCTTAAATAGACATGCAGAGATGATTCTGTTCTTCTGTAAACTGCAAAGATAATGTCCCTCAAATAAAACACATCATAAACTTAGGGGGATCGTATGACTAAGTTCATTTACCTCTTTTGCATTTATTTATGTAGTAGATGCTTTTGTCCAAAGCGAGGTACAACTGAGAAACAGGGTCGGCCAGTCCCTGGAGCAGCTACAGCAGTTACACAATTAGTCAATTGATCTTTAGTACATTAGATGGAAATTAATGTCTAATGTGTAAAAATCTTCAATTGGCACGAGAGGATGGCATTGAGTCTGTAGCATGTTTTTTCAGAAGCTTTCAATGATGGAGTTCAGTGCGTTTAAACTGGCTTTCATGGAAAAAACAGGAGTGAATTTAATACTTCACAAAATGCATTTTCTTATTATGCTTTTCTATTTAAAAGCAAGGGCTTCCTTCTAGAAACACCTGCCCTTTCTGTTCAGTATAAACACAGCATGTTTCCACGAAATAAAACTGGATTCACACCAGTTTGGCAACTACGACACTGAAGGCCTCCAGGCAAAAAGTTGATTGGTCATGATGATTAGACACCTGAACTCAAACTGTTTTTGGGTGGTGGAATTCCCTTTCATATCCATTACTGTTCTCAAAGGTTTTGCTAATGTCTGTAGAGTTTCAAAGAGCTGTAGCTGAACGAGAACACATAGATTATGTTACATTTAGCAGACACTATTATCCAAAGTGAGGATTGGGCAACAGGGTCAACCAGGCCCTGAAGCGACTAGGGTTAAGTGCCTGTGCTCAGGGGCCCAACGGTGAAATTACTCTGCCAGCCACAGGATTTCGCCTGGCAACCTTTCAAGTTCTAACCCGCAGAACCGCACCACCACCACTCTCTCTGAGTATCTGAGTAAACATTAAGTATTATTAATAGCTGACCGCAGCACTATGAATTACTTTACATAGCATACATTGCTAAAAAAAAAAAAAAAGTCATAAAACTGACTGTTTAACCCCTGGGTAAATGTTTCACATTATTCATAGAGTTCTATACACTATTTCTGTAGTGGTTAAAAATTCTGATTCAGTGTAAAAGTTTGTAACCTCCATTAAAAGTGCTTAACCTAAATTTCTGTAGTAGATGTATCCACCTGTAGGTAAAAGTGTCACTTTAAAAATTTAGACAAATTGGCAGAAGCGTGTTAGTAAACTATGGTTACGCCCTTAAGCTTGAAGGCTTTTTTTAAACGTGGTTGCCAGGAATTATGCTTTCTTTTATTTTGTTCCCATAATGTACCGGGGCCATCCCCTGGCCAGCTGTGTCCAACAGACCCAATTTCAACAGATGAAGCTTGTTCCAGTGTAGCTGGGGCTATACTATCTCTGGAGGGTGACCCAGAAAGGGAGGCTTCTCTCCAAGAAGCCTGGAGCAGCCCTGTCCGTATGAGGAGATGTCAGATACTCAGAGCTAATTCATTATAAGCACCTGCATAACTCACGTTATTACATAACAGGTACACCGCAGAATATCAGGTTAAGTACACCAGACAAAGCCATAATGTTTCCGGGGGTAGATATCTTCTGAATGGGCCCTCCAGCTGGTGGGTGCTGAATGAGGAGTTAATTAGAGTCCCGTGTGGGGGGGGGGGGGGGGCAGGATACATGATCTGCCTTTCCTGTTTGGTATGCGTGGTTACTGAGGTCAGCAACAAGGCAGCATCGGTAAAACATCGCTCTGCAAGCACACAAGCGCCATTCCGGCTGCGGACTCGGCCGTTGCCACCAGGCCCTGCGATCGGCTCTGCTGCTGTCCCGCCTGTCCCGCGACGGTAAACTTTTCTGTCTCATGACCGCCCTCCCAGCCTGCCGTGTGAAATCCGAACCCCGTCTCCCTGCACAGATGGGCCTGGATCAGCGTCGCTCGGCATCTCCTGACATCAGGTCTGTGCGGGGGGCGGTACTGAGCGCACCCACCGGGCCAGTCTGCCACGGAGTTGCTGTTAGTTTGGTGGTGAGAAAAAAAAAACAAAACACTTTTGCTAAAATGAAGGTCACGCCCGCATAAAAAAAATCTCCTGTATGCCGAAGGAGCTGGTGCTATGCAAAAATATGAATAGGGTGTGTTTTGTCAGGGGGAAGGGGATGAGGTCAGGTGAAGGTGGAAGGACACCTCTGCACCCGGTTAATATCAAACTGCTTCCCCTAACAGCCAGGATGGCTCCTATCAATCAGTTTCAGTCTCACATTATTAACCTTATGATTGGTTCTGGATTGGTGTAAACATATACTATTCTTAATGGGCGAGTTTTATAACAACCCCCACCCATCACCAAACAGTCCCAACAGCGTAAAACATCTTCGTAGACGTCACCTCTGCCCCCTCATAGCAAATCGAGACATGCATCCACTTTAGTGTTACACCAATGAGGATTTAAGAGGAAAAAGCTCCCTCAGGAACACCCTTTTATAATAAGCAAAAAATAGGTCGTTACAGACAGAAAAGGAGGTCTGTGGAACGCTGAGGTGTTCTTAAAGGCACAGTGCTCCTGAAACTCAGAGTCTGGCAAACCTGCAGGATGACTTAAAAGGAGTCTCTTCGGTTTTAATTTTGCTCGTTCTCTTCATAACTGAGGGTGACGTCAGATAGGCTGGCTGTGGAAAGACTTTTTTTTAGAACAAAGCAATGGTCTGACATGTGACTTTGTTCACTGATTTGATTGGACAGATTAGGTAAACGGTTTTTTGCAAAACAAAAGTAATTTTCCCTTTAGTCATGGTGTACTTTCCATCTGAAGGAATGTGAGTGAGGCCTGTCTCTTACGCATGTTTTTAATATCTCCGAAATCCTGACCAACTAGAAGACAGATGGATGGATGTTATTAATACTGAATGTGAAAGAACAACGACTCAGCATTTCAGAATTTGGAATTTGTTCAAAACTTGTCCAAGGTCCTTGCTGGCAAATCTCTTTGGTCAACAAGGCAAAATGGCTCTCGCCCGGCCGTAGAAAAGAACAACTACAGCAGTCACTTTGTTCACTTTCACGGTGATTGACTCCTTATTTGATCAGGGCCAGTTTCTGCAAAGGCAAAAGGTGTGGCCAGAACTTTCTACACCTCATTACAAGACGATGATCTCACCAAGTTGAAGACACCCATCTCCATCCTGCGGGGGGGGCATCATCGTAAAGGATTCATGCTGTTCATGTTTCCCTTTTATTTTTGAGATTGGATCGTCATGGAGACACCTGGATGAGCTTTATTTGTGCGTAGGGGAGCGTGGCCACCTTGCTCTGCAACCCCTGAAGAACAAACCACGTTACAGCAGCTGGAGAAGCTGCCGGTGTCTGGTCAGGTCTTGGGAGGAAGGGTGCTGAGAAAGCACCCCAGGGAGCCACGAGGGGGTTCCGAATACACAGGGCTATTAATAAGGTCCCGATATACAAGCTATTTTAAAATCGCAGCCCATGCTTCTCAGAAGGGTATTTGCGTCACAGAATGCCACACAATATGCCGTCTGTACATACTGCCCTTTACGGCCGCCGCGGCCCCCTGCCCCGCTTTGTGCCACCTCAAACGCCAACCCGAAATGTGGCTCCCCCTACTCCTGGAAGCTTTTTGTGTATTAAATTGTGGTGGATTGAAAGCACCAAAAAAGTAACAGACGAACCCTAAAAACCAGCGGGGACTGACATGAAAATGCTGAGGCGGAGAACTATGAGATTAAGAATGAAATTTCAGTGAGAGCCTATAGCATGAATAAGGTAACTGTGTAGTAAGCGGGGTGTATTTTCACGTGGGTGCAGAGGGAGGGCGCTATGGAGGAGGATTCCTATGGAGTCTTGACCACATCTTTGGCAACTTGTTTATGGATGGGTTCTAAAAGGGTTCATCCGAGGCCTGACCTCACGCACCTGTGTGGGCAGGGTTCCCCCAGCGCTGACTAGGCCTCGGATTGGATATCGGCGCAGCCGTCATTCCGCTCTTACTGACACTCGCACCTGACACGTCGAAGATGGCCGAGAACCACATGGTGGGGATATTGCATATCGACCTGGCGGAAGGCAGGGGTTAGGGACGCGTGCGAGCCTCAATCTTTACGGCTTGCGCTCGGGGCAGACGGGCGGGCCGAGGGGCGTCCTGCTGCGATCAGAAACCTTCTGAACGTCATGCTTCGCGGGTCACATTTCCCCCTGATAATCTGAAACCTCGGATGTCCAGAGAAACCACAACGGCGCAAATTAAAATAATAAAGGTCTTAAATTGTGACCCTTTGCTTTCATGCAAACAGCTAGCTCTGGATGTGTCTGGAATATCCAGCGGTCGTGTTCGGTTCGGTACAGAACAACGCCCACTAACGCTAAGAATCTGCTGTCTGTCACGTTTCGGACTCCACCTGTATTTAATAACCCAGGCATGGGCCAGCTCTATTTTTCAGCATTTGATTGGTTAATTTCGATACATGGCTGTCATCACCTTTGCAGTCTGTTTGGCAGTAAGCCAAAAAGCTCTCTAAAGCGAAACAAACACTTATATAAGCTCACAGAGGGCGGAGCGTGAATAGGCAGATAGAGTGTAATATACACCCCCTCGTAAAAGCAGGCAGTTCTCCCCGCCAGACTCACCCCAGGTAAACAGCCAATCAGCCACTCCCTCCTGCTTTTTTTTCCCCAGACGTAGAATATCCTTCAACCTGAACCTTTTGAACGATTTGAAAAAAAGGTTCTTTCCTACAGCAGACTGAAATGGAGTGAATTAAAACGACTACTCTTACCAGTGGACAAAAGTAACAAAAGAATTTTATAACTCTTCAGTCACCAAACATGAGAATCCAAAGGGGATTCTGTAGTAAATAAAACAGCAGCTGCTTCTGTCCTGTTATGTCTCTGCGAAATGAAACACGAGTCTGATCCTGGGCAGGTAGGAGTCCCACATACTGACAGTGACTCTGTAGAAATCAACCTAACCAGGAGGAAACAGGTTCAAGCATCACCATGCAATAACTCCTCCCAATACAGGTTTTGAAGTTTCATTCTGCCACAGGGTTTGAGAGCAGGGGACCCCGTTACTTTAGCTGCGGACGCAGCCGTGGTCAGAGCAGGACACGGCAGATCCTGGTGAAGGGGCTCTGCTCATATTTAACAGGTTAATAACCCTGCATCACCATAGCTGCTAACAGCTCTCATTAGACAGTCATCATATAGGCATCTCGAATGCTGAATGACCTCATGCACATGGAATTTCCTGTCCTTTCTTTTAATACATCACGCTGTTTTTATCATTCATAACTCTTCTCTGAAGCTATCTGCACATGACGTGGACATGCTTGTGCCGTTTTTGGTGCAGGGCTGTGCCCGGGCTGACCATCTTGTATAAAAAGACCTCTGAAGCACAGGCAGGCTTTTCTCTGCTGATCCCTGCTTCCCACCCTGACTGCACTACTGATCCCAGTGCTATTAAAGGAAAACATCCATCAAAACACTTCCCATCCCCAGATCCCCAGTGTAACAGCGTGCCCCCATCCCTCTCTACCCCCCAGAACATGCCTTGTTGTTTCTCCAGCTCTGCCCCCCAGTGTACCATCACAGCCTCCGGGGGGGGGGGGTCTTTAAGAGCAGGGTAGGTCCAGACTAAGCTGAGGACCCAGCCACACGGTCACAGTGGGCCCATACCTGCCTCCAGAACCCCCCGCCGGGACACACATCAGCAAAATGGTTATCTACTGTCATCTACTGTCATCTTCAGCTATATTACGCATGGGTTATACACAGAGATGAAATTCTGTTCTTGTTGGCAAAGAAACAATAATAAATAGAATATAATACATAAAACTTATGTAACTGATAAATGCTTCAAAACACTCATGAAAAAATATAAATATATGCATTTAAATCCATTTATAGCATTTGAAGAAAACGTTTACTAATATGAGTGCAACACAGCCAAGAAAACACACCCTGTCGTGCTCCAGTTGCTGCCCTGGGACTCTGCTCCTCTCCCAGGGCCCCACCTGGTCTCCTGGCACGCGACCCCACCGGGACTCTGTTCCTCTCCCAGGGCCCCACCTGGTCTCCTGGCACGCGACCTCACCGGGACTCTGCTGCTCTCCCAGGGCCCCACCTGGTCTCCTGGGACGCGACCCCACCGGGACTCTGCTCCTCTCCCAGGGCCCCACCTTGTCTCCTGGGACGTGACCCCACCGGGACTCTGCTCCTCTCCCAGGGCCCCACCTTGTCTCCTGGGACGTGACCCCACCGGGACTCTGCTCCTCTCCCAGGGCCCCATCTGGTCTCTTAGGATGCAATCCCACCGGGACTCTGCTCCTCTCCCAGGGCCCACCTGGTCTCCTGGTACGTGACCCCACCAGGACTCTCTCGTACTACACCATTAGGAGGATGCCGGTCTTCAATCACTCAAAGGAGTCGCATCGTGATGACAGCAAAGGCTTCAGCTCCTGAGCATCAGGGGCAGAAACGCAGAGCGGGGCTTTTCAGCAGATCTCCAAGACGATCCTGAGGGGAAACCCTCCTATGGCCCTTTTCTTTTCCTCTCAGTTAGCAGTAAATCATCTGCACTTAACACATGCATCTAATCCCAGGCCGTAATGGTGTCACCTCCATTCACACTCTGTTTTAAAGCATTCCTCCCTTGCAGACAAAAAACGTGTCTGACCGGTCCCGCTTGGTCAGTCCCACCACCTGGCCAGTCAAGAGGCCCGGACCCAGTGGCAGGTCCAGCAGCTCCTCCAGTCATGTCAGACATTTCCACCTTAACATCAAGTCAACATTGTTTACATTCCCCATGTAGCTCCACCCCCATCATCTCTCGGGTCACACCCAACGCATCGCATATCATTAACCCCCGACTTGCCACTCTTGTCCTCAGTGATCTAAACACGCTTATCCCCTGCAGCCATAGCGAAGTGAAGCCCAGCTGGAATTCTCAGATGTTACTACACGACGGCTGCAGCAGAACACCTGGGTGGTCGGGGGAAACACTTTCTGAATCCTGGGCTCCATGAATGTCTGACACAAGAACCTAAAAAGGAAAGTTGACTAAATTCTTAGTCATCGTAAAGGTTTGATTTGTTTCCAAGTACTTTTTTTCTCCTTATTATTGTTGTCATTTTTAATGATCCCTTGGGCAGCCTTAAAGGGGCCGGTCAACATACAAACAATTAAGCAATCACTTGCTAACAAAGCATCACCTTGCATTAATTAACATCCCTTTAAGATTAACAGCTGACCGTAGTGCTTTGCTAAAGGCAGTTCCATCCCAGACAATCAGGCGCCTCCTGCATAGATACTTAAGTGCGACACGAGGCATAGAGACGTTACACCTGCTATGTTCCTCATCCTCTGGTTCACAAACTCTCCCAGCTGTTCAGGTTTATGGAAAGAGCAGAGAAACTTCAATCAAACGACCGAAGGACCTGAGAATTACTCAAGCCGGCTACACTGGTAACACTCATGGGCACCATGCGCCTCAATGGGTTTGGACCCTACACCTATGGTCACCAGTTCAAATCCCATGGCGGACAGGGTGATTTCATTATGGGGCCCCTGAGCGGGGCCCCTGACCCCAATCACTGCCGGGATTGGTCGCCCCTGGCCCCAATCGCTCCCGGGATTGGTTGCCCCTGCCCTGTACTCTACACTCGTACGTCTCTTTGGACAAAATGCTAAATAAGTAAATGTACACAGACCGTGTACTAGTGGCTTCTGTGCCATTTCAGCGCTGTTTCAGTGCATATTAGTGTGTACGCTCTTCCTTCCCGAGGGCTCCCGTGTGTGTGTGTATGCAGTGCAGGGTTAGCAGTGAGTTACAAGCGGGGTCTTAACAATGGAACATCAATTAGTCGGAGCCATGTGGCAGCAGAAAATAACCCACATGCTAACTGTGTGAGGCAGTGACTCACCATCGGAGAGGAGCAGCCAGGGGCTCACACACGCTCACACACACACACACGCTCACACACACACACCCTCTAGCCAAAGCGAATAGCGCAGTCTGGTGGTCCTGTTCACTCCCACAGCTAGATCAACGGACCCTCCAATTGGCTGAAGGCACACAGCACCAAGGATTGAAGCCGGCAGAGCAGATCAGATGCAGAGCAAAAATAATAATAAGTGTCTTTGAAAAGATGGGCCTCAAATTTGACTTTGCTGCATTGTTCCGTTTACCTTGACACAATGGAGCGGAGCACCTGGCCGGCGGCTGGTTCATCCAACCTATCCACCACTCCCCAGATCAGGTGGCCAGAGAATGGCACGTCCCCTGCCAAACTGGCAAGGGGGGGGGGCACAGGGAATAACAGGGCTGCCAAGCAGAAGCTTCCGGTTTCCAATCGAGAGTCAAAGACCAGCACAAATGCCTGCCAAACATGTCCTGCAGATCTAAAAGGAGGACCCGGCAGTGTGGAGGGCCCCCCCCCCCCCCAAGTCACTGCACAGCCCCCGTGTCACCCGTGACACCTGCGAGACAAACGGAACACGGCTCTATGTAGGACACATTTTCTGTGGGGCATTATTCAAAGTTATTTTAAGACATGGCAGAAGTAGGCTGATCATCACATGCTGAAGGGGGTGGGGGGTGGGGGGAGGGGCACTTAAGAGTGCTGTAAACACCAAGTAAAAAGGCAAACGCTTCTCCTGCCCAAATTCCTCCAGCTGAGACTGAGGATGATGGCCAACGCCCCAAGTCACATGACACAAGTCAGACATCTATGGTTATGTACGAACTTCCTGTATAATTACCAGGGGGGTTTGCTGGCTCCATGACATAGGTTCAGGACTAACAAATACACACAACAAATATTGTATGAAAATTGCTTTAAAAGTAAACCGGCAAGGATTCTCTTTACTGAGCACACACTTTAGAAACAGCCCAAAAGCTATTTATGCTGCAGCCAGCGTGCATTTACATTAAAATGGAGCCAAACGGCCAATGAGAACAGAAGACAGAAGCAGATTGATGAGAAGACCTTCAATATCCCTCAGAGTCGCCATTGGTTAAACCTTGTTAAGTCAGCACTGCCAGTAGCGCGTGCGTGCACGCGCACACACACACACACACACACACACACACACACACAGATGTGTACATTCAACACCTTCCACCCAGGAATGCATGCAAAAGTACAGCCAGTAGAACAGGATTATGTCGCCCACGAAGACGTACGAGGCGGCCACAGAAAGAAAATGCCAAGAAACACGCCGGAAGAACAGCAGAGGGATCAAGCCCAGCGTGACGCAGGAAGAGGACGCTTGTCCATGCAGCGTGAATGGGGGTGTTAACGCTGAGCCCACCTGCCCCAGCCTCGGACGGGGACCCGTCAGCCAGCCCTCCAAGCCAAACAGACTCACACCAACAGGCAGCACAAGTTCAACTGGGGTTTATTTTCAGATTTGTTCTTAAGACATTAACAGGTTTTATGCCTTATGAAATATTACACTCTGCCGTAATAAAGTGCAGGGTTAGAGTCGGTCACCTGATGATACATCGGAACGGTAGATTCATTCGGGAAAAAAGAGACCGTAATGAAAAGCCCTTTATGCGTCAACACAAAGCTTAGATATGAGAAGCTTCCAGAAAGCTCAGTTAGTGCATCAGCAAATCCTGTGGCCAGAGTCACCTGGGGATGCTTTAAAAATTCATTTAAACCCTCAGTTTTAGCGTGCAGCTAAACTGAAGTGATTTTACTTACTAAAACTGTGTGTCAAACAGGCTGAAGACGGCAAGAGCGGGCGGGAGGGGGGGGGGCACAGACACGTGTCCGTACTAAAGTGCCGGACTGATATTTGGCTTGTTTTGCTTGAAGCTCGGCCACAAATTCCCGTCTTAGGTACACGGACGAGCCAGCCGGTCCCTTACAGCCCTTGTGGTCTGGACGTAGTGTGAAACGGCAAGGGGAGCTCAGACCGACCCGGAGAAGCCGTAAGAAACCTAAAAACGTATATAAATACATATGCAAAGTATCGCATGGACTCGTGCCGACACACAATATTTGCATATTAGAACCTGTGCAACGGGAACAAAGCACTTGGCGAGATACGGCCGCTCCGTAAAGCTTTCCTCCATCCTACCATCATCCGCCCCATCCCCTCGGCCCCCGGGGGCTAGCATAATCTTTCTGGGGGGGAGCAGATATCAGACACAGAGTGAAGATGTGGGGAAAAAAAAAAAGCCAAATAAGGGGGCGGGGTCTACATGAAGGGGCGGGGTCTACGTGAGGGGGCGGATGCATCCTGCTACGATTGCATAGAAAGAGAAAGCAAGGCGGGGCTAAGGGGTGACGCCTCTTCATAAATAACATGAAATACACACAAGTCCTAATGTCAAGCAGAGGAGAAAACAATGAAAATCAAAAAAAGCACGCTTGGTATAAAACATGGTGCACGTCCAGAGTACAGAACACCCATGCAATCAAGCTCCCATAGGGGTCCATGTTCTACATTCCAAAATGAAAATCACGCCTCCCAGGGGGGGCGACGGGGACAGGATCCGGGGGCAGTCACCCCGGTGCCCAGCAGTCATTATCTATGCAGCTGGACAAAGGCCTCCAGTTTGATGGGGATGTTGCCGTGGTAACGGAGGCCGTGCCGGACGATGACGCGGGCGGCCAGGCACTGCAGGGTGGTGTGGTTGATTGGCTGGATCAGGTTCCTGGCCATCTCCTTCTCATCCAGCAGATCGCACGCCGTCTGGTTGAAGGAGTTGGTGCTGTCGAAGTGCGAACCGCAGGAGATGAGCAGGTTCATGATGTCCGGGTGGTTGTTGGAAGCGGCCACGTGCAACGGGCTGTTGTTGTCCTGGTCGCGGCAGTTCACGTCAGCGCCACATTCCACCAAGATGGAGGTCACCTGGAAAGACGGGAACTTGCAGACGGGGTAACGGCCCACGCAGGTCGTGTTTCGGTCCACGGCCAGGTGCAGGGGACTGTAGCCGTTCTTTCCACATGGCTGCAGCTTGAGGAACCTGTAGATGGTCTCCTTCTTGAAGTGGTCCTGCTCCACAGTGCAGGGCACCTTCTCCAGGAGGCAGACGAGATGCAGGATGATGGAGAGCGCCTTGCTGAGCTGCGCCGGGTCTGCTGGAGGCTGCGTCTGCTTCATGGCCCGCTCGATCTCCAGCACGCTTTTGCTCAGGACGCCCATGAGGTCGTGGAAGGATACGGCAGTGCCCAGCAAGCCCTTGGCACGGTCCTGCAGCATGAAGGAGAACAGTTCGGCGAAGGAGAGCAGACTGCTGGCCGTCATGGGGCTCAGCGGGTCCAGGTTGCTCTGCTGCATGTCCAGCGCATACTTCCACAGGTTGATGCAACGCTCGAAGTTTCCCGAGTCGGCGTAGACAGCGCCACGGTAACGGATGTAGTAGGAGGTGTCGGGGTGCGAGGGGCCCAGGATGCGCTCACGGATAAGCAGGGCCTGCATCCTCATCTGGTCGGGATCAGAGATGAGGCTGTCCAGCTCCTCCATGCTGCTTACCTCCTTGGAGTAATCGTAGGCCATCACCAGCTGCTTGGGCTCCTCCTTGTGGATGACGTCGCTGCCGTCCTGGTACCGCAGGTCCATGGCCCGCTTCCAGTATTTCAGCGCACCGAGAAGGTCCCGCTTCTTGTCCACAAATGTGGCCCCAAGCAGCTCCAGGGCATTGATCTTCTCCACCTGGCTGGTGTTCTGGTGCTGCGTCAGGAAGTCCACGATGTTGGTGTGCCCCGTGACGCTGGCCGACAGCAGCGGCGTCATGCCGTAGCCGTCTCGCTCCATCTTGGCTCCATATTTCAGCAGCATCTTCATTATCTCCAGGCTCCCCGATTCGGCGCAGTCGTGCAGCGCTGTGTTACCTGCGGGACACGCAAAATGTCAGGCATGCGACGCTGCAACACTCCATGGGAAACCTCCAGCTCAGAATGGGGACTAATCACAGCACAAGCAAAGCAGTCAAGACGACCAAATCAGGACAGTAACCACCGACTAGGGCGCCTATACAAATAATACAGGTTCAGTCCTTGTGTGTCTGTGCATCCAACGTGAAAATACTGCAGGCGTAGAGATAAGGAGGAAATTGTCAGTCTGTATAAAAAAAAACATCTTTTACTAAATAAACCATAAATTTTTGCATTTGGCAGACTGGCACAAATAAGAATCCTGTAGTCAGGGTAATTCAATCCACATTTATGAGTTTTCCTGTTGTTAATCTTCAGCCAGCTGAAAACGGGGCTAATTTTCTATGCTATTCGTGACAGATACACACACGCTGGGGCACACTTGCGACAGGCATGCAAAACTGCGCACGCACGCACACACACACACACACACACACACACACACACACACACACACACACACACACACACACACACACACACACACACACACACACACACACACACACACACACACACACACACACATAGCCGCTTTACATTTCACTACGTCCATAAAGTGACGCATCTCTGGATGCCAAATGTGCTGAGATTCAGCAGATAGGTGCCACCACCCTCTCGCGCTTTGACTTTAAGTGTCTGTCTCCCCGACCTGAACACGGAGGTTCTCGCGTTTTCTGGAGGTCTCTCTCTCTCTCTCTCTCTCTCTCTGAAGCATCGGGAGAATCCCAGCGGAGAAGCGGCGTCCTTCCTGCTCAGGATTGCAGCCGTTGGGTCAGCGTGCTCCACATCAGGCAAGGATGTGCAACGCAGGAGGCGTGTTGCTATAGTTACACTCTCACGGCTTGCCAGGAGAGATGTAAAAATTCCCCACCATCGCCAAGGCCATCCAGCTGACACAGAACTAGCTTCTGAAGGAGCCCTAAAGGACTCTCCACAGTGGCAGCACAAGCCAATTTTAGAATTTGGGCTCACCTTTTTGTTTTTATACTTCCCAGAAGAACAGTTACCTTTCAAGTTCTCCAGCCACCACTGAAGGAACATAGAGCCATTTTATAGTCTGCCTGGCTGTGAGGTCCCTGAAAGCCTACAGCGGTGCCACGTCACGAACGCTGCCACATCCTCCAGACGCGAGTTACCGTGCCCGAACCCAGGATGTGCATAAGACTCGCAGGCAGAAGAAGATGGGTGTGTTTCCTCATGAATAGAACGTTAAGGATCCACCCAGGCCTGAAAAACATGGCTCACCTGTCAGTAGCCAGACTGACTTCTCTGCCAAAGGCAGTCTACGTGACTTTTCACAAGAACACGGCAGCAATTTTCCAACTTTGGGTTAGAGGTTAGAAGTTTTTTTTCTCTAACGAGCATGAAGGTCAAATTCAGTGGAGCAGCATCAATCTTCTCATACAAGATAAAACTAACAATTATAAGTTCCCAACAATGATATTACAATTATAATAAATTTAGCAAATAAAACTATATTTACCTAGTACAATTGGAACAATTACCATATTAAGGAAAAGTCATTCTGTCCAACTCCATGTTTCTAAATCTTTAAATAATTATTAAATCCTGTAAAATTTGTTTCATTGATAACTAGTGTTTTTTTTTTTTTTTACCATTGTATGGTATTTCGACTGTATTAATAGCAGATAAACAACAAGGGGGTCCTTGCTATCAGGCACAGATACCTGCTGTAACCCTCCCTCAATTTATCTAACCAGACAAGATTTGTCTGAAAGAACTAGTCAGTCAACACGCACAGCTTAATCCAAGTCTGGATCTGCACAACAGGTATGCCCAGCTCTTAAAAAGTTTATATTTAGTATTTTCAGACATAAGCCTAGTCTGTTCCGGCCAGGGGCCCCAATCGGGCCCCAAGAGCCTGGCATGTCAGACATGATCACGGCCNGGGGTACTCTGATATATTATCAAAAATTGATTGCATCCAACAGAAACTGATGGAATCAGCTCACATCGCTAAAAGCTAAAACGTATCGCCTTTTTGCTATCTTCACCCCACGTGTGTTTGTTGCTCCGAATAAACAGCATAATCCCCTGCTCCTTTACCACCTAAAGGGCTTCTCCGGTGCATATGGTACAAGATAAGTGACCTCGGCGTGTTGGGCTCCCGATCTCGCCACGACTCCCAGCCCGAGCCAGACGAAGCTGGTCCCGGGCCAGCGGGGGATCGCTTTGGATTAGTGCGCCGTGTTGATACTGGATATACGGCGGTCCGGCCAGGCCATTCCTCAGCCCGCTTATTCACACCCTCGAGTCCAACACGGCTGTAAAAGCGCTGACGGTTTCAGGGCTAAAGTGACACATCTGGAAAGAGTGACAAGTCTTTTTCATATTTCTCCGTCGAAACTAACCCTCCTCCCCCGTATGCAACAGAATGAACCCTTACCGTCTTTAAAGTCATTACATAAGGCAAGACCCTGAGATTCCTCAACCCTGGTAATAAGTTCCCATTTAACAGTAGACAGACACAGGATCCGTCGTTATTAAGTGTCCCCCTCACCATAAAGCCGCATCCGCGCAGCACCGCCGGAGACTCACCCTTGACACTTTTTCTGTTCACATCGGCCCCCTTTTCTAGCAGGTACTGGGCGATCTCTTTGTGTCCTTTGTAACAAGAGATCATCAGGCAAGTGTGGCCGTGTCGGTTCGCCACCTCCAGGTCGGCCTTGTGCTCCACCAGGTACTTGACGATGTCGAGGTGGCCGTCGAAGCAGGCGGCCCGCAGCGGGGTGGAGTTGGTCAGTGTGGTGCTGTTGACGGCCGCGCCGTGCCCCAGCAGGGACTGCACCACCTTCAGATGGCCGGCGGCCGAGGCGGCCCACAGCGGCGGGGCACCCTCGATTGTCTCCCCGTCGAAATTGACGGAGCCCCCGATTTCAACGGGGGCCAGGCAGCACTCGAGGAGGTACTCGACCAGGTCCAGGTGCCCGTTTCTGGCGGCGATCAGCAGCGGAGTAGCGCCGTTCGTCTTCTCCGCCATCAGCTTGCCGAGTTCGGGTCCTGCTTTGTTATCCAGGAGCTTCTGCAGCAGGCGCAGCTTGCCGTCCCTGGCCGCGTTAAATACCGCCGTCTTAAGATCCATTGAACCGGGTGGGAAGATAATACTTGTACTTTCCTGATGAGGAGGCTGGAGTCGGAGCCCTATCCACACGCCAGGCTCTGCGCCGGTGGACCTATCTGGGTTTCAAACTGCACACAGCTGTCTCGATTAGCGACGATCACGACTCATGGTCCGCTTTAAAATGTCAATTATTGCACAATGCGCCGAAAATTCGGCGTCGAGTTTGCGGAAATCAAGACAAGCTGGACGAGGACCGGCCAAGCTTTTGAACAATGGACGCCGATGGGTCCGCCGTCCCCCAGCCGTCCCGCGGCGGCCCACACCTCCGGAGCTCCGATGTCCGCCTTACGGCGTTACAATGTTACCAGGTCGCTCTTATAGTGATACAGTGTTACGATTATTCAAGCGACCAGCTCTGTAGGTGGGTCACTCCGGAATCTCCTCGACGTCGATCTCCATTCCGGATTCGTAAGGCTGTCTGTTTTCATGCCGCATTAAAAGCACCAAATATGATCCAATGGTCCGTTATGTGTCTTTTTTTTAAAAATTCGAAAAAGACAGAGCGTAAGAAAAAGCCGCGGGCCGAAGCGCATCACAGGCTGCCGCGCAGCGCCGTCCTCCCCCGCTCGGGTTTCCTGTCTATCTGGAGAAGATGGTGGAGTCGGGGCTGCTCTCTTACTCGTCCGATCGCTCTCCCTCCACACGTCACTCTCACTTCGTCCTAACGCAGCGAAGCCTTGTAATTTTTCTTTTCTGACTGTCACTTACTCATCGTCTTTTCCAGCGAGTAAAGCTCTAGGGTTCACGCCGCCGCCAGTAACCCTGCGTCGCCGGTTTCATCTCAACTAGGCGCCCGGCGTCCGGTTTTGCGGCGTAGAAAAACAAAGCGCCCCCGGGGCGTCTCCACCTCCGCGGATCTCCGCGGAACAGGCAGCCGAAGGGCCCAATCAGGAAGCAGAATGGCGCCTACGTGTTCCGCAACCTGCGCTGAGAAATTGGCATATACCTGCGGTCCACGCGTCGGCCGGAGGAAAGTGTCACGGTGCCGTTCACGGGCATGGAATTCAACTGCAACTCACCTGAAACACGACAAAACCGATGCAACACCTGTAGGTTTAATGCACGTATAGATGGGCGTAAATTGCGGGGAGATGGGGGTGTAATCTCCCCAATAATCAAAACCAGCAAAAATCTCATTGCAGGATACTGAAGGTAAATGATGGCTTTGGTTATTATTGGGCAAGAATGTCCAAGTGGTTCAGTGATTATCAGTGGTTTAGTAAACTGAGGGGGCTTTTTGGGAATCTGAATATGTTCCCATGGGGCTGGGGAGCAGGGATGGGAGGAGGCGTTAAATTTTACCCCACCTGAAAGGTTGTCTACAAGTGAATTCTGACTTGGTGCCTAAAGTGAACTGATTCACTGAATGTCATTTTCACAGCACACATATAAATTGTAAGTAGTGCAGTTACGCATGAATCTGCACAATCCCACCTCTGCTCTGCTCATGCAAAGTTGAAGTGATCAGCCTGTTATATGGATTAACTAACGCATGGTTAGGTGAACTAGTGTCTCTGAATTTCACACTGTGCATAACTGTGTTAACATAACTGGCTCCAGGCCCCTTGGGACACTGACCATGATAAGCAGCTGCAAGACGGATTGAGTTCCTCAGGCATCCAGACCTACACAAGTAAACTGACCCTATCAAACGACGATAAACATGCTTTATTTACCATTTACAGTTACACTGGAATGGTTCTCTTCACTGGGGGGGGGGTCACAGTGCAGGGTCAGCAGATGTGCAGTGCCCCTGGAGCTTCTACAAATTTTACTCAAGGGCCTGTGGACATGTCACCGTTCTGCTGAGGCTTGAACTAGCAACCTACTGATCACAGACGCAGAGATTTGGCCTGATGAGCCACTCACTACCACAACACCCCACTCAGGCGAGTTTGCTGTAAGCATCACAATAACAAACAGCATGTGAATTTCACATTTCTAACCCCTACCCTCAGAAAACCTAAATTGAAACAACAACAAAGATGGCGTTCTTTAATTCCTGGACAGTTACACCCTTTTAGCTTTGAACAGAGTACATAATACATTCTTCAGTGAGTGGCATCACATCCTTTTAGGCACATATCACAAGATCTCCTGAAAACATTTGACAAAGATATATGTGCATAAAATTCTAATTGCAAATATTACTCTTAGTTTCACAAATGGTGGATTTCAGACTTAGGGTAAAAGACAGAAGCTAAGTGATAAAAGGTAACACAAGACTTTTTTTGTCATTGTATGTCTACAATGAAATTTTGTGTGAAAATTCACAGACAGAAAACAGCGGTAGGTACTAAGATAAGTATACATAATAACAAGCACAAATATACATGATAAAAAGCACTCAAAAACAATAATTAAAAGCAAAACAGTACATTTCCTAAGACATACAGTGGGCAAAAACTATTTAAATGCAGCACAAGACATTCAGTTAGTGGCTAAGCTTTGCTTGTTGGGTTTGTGTGGGAGAATATTGCAATGACCTTCGGGAATTGGATAAGCAGTGAGAACAGCAGTGGATGGGGATTTAGTCAGCAAGGATCGGTGCCGTTTCCCAGACAAATGAATCTGCGTTTGTCACTAGCAATGCCATGTGCAGTGAAGGGTCCTCCCCAGGATACACTTGGCCATCAGGACTGAGCAAGTCACTGCAGCCTTGAAGAAATGCAGCAGGAGAACCCAGATCCATCCTCCCAGGACCACACAGATGGCACCAGGGTTTACCTCTAGCTTCCTGTTAAGTTTGTCTCTTTGTCTCATATTCCAGGGAAACCATCTCAGGCACAACAGTATTTGTGAAAGATGCTGTCATTGTTCCTGTTCATAGAACTTAAACACACACTAGCTGTGCACTGATATATTTCTATGTGATCCCAACCGTAACTTCAGCTCAATATAATCATCTTGGCTGTTATTGTTTTTATTTTAAATCCAGTAAGAGCTGAGCGTCACCGATTTAAAGCCTCATTCACTATAATTACCAAGAGTTTTGCTGGAGAGCTTCCACATATCAGAGACATCCTGCAGAAACATAACACAGCTGCATTTCTACACTGCGGAGTCTTATTCAGCTATAAGCACATACCGACTAATGTCCCAAATAAGGGGATTACATAGATAATTGAATGAGGTGTCTGTCAAAATAAGCCATTGCTTATAACACATCTAAACCTGTTTACTTTCTCCAGTCCTCAGGAACGTTATCACAGTTATTCATCACAATGACACTGAGCCAGATTATGCAAATGAGTCTAGAAAGTAACTTTAAAATATTGCCCCCTAGTGGACAAAAGAGCCCGTTACAACGGATGCCCCACATTTTATATAAACGGCAGTGGAGCAGAAAAGCTAAATCTCATATCATACCAATATGCTTGGAGAAAACAAGCAAAACCAAATTTTCTGCCTGGGGCAGTAGCATTGCAGTCTTGTGCAAAACAGGCAGTAATGAGGGTTCATAATTTTGGTATGAGATTATTACCAGAAAACTAATTGCTAAGAATTTTGACCCATTTGATGCATAAAATGGATGAAAACGCTTTCATTTTCCCATGTTGTAATGTAGTGATTATTTTGTAAGAAACAGACACATGAGTCAGAGACAGTTAGACAAAATGGGATTTTTTTTTATTCATCTGAAACGTAACTGCATGACATTCATACATGTGGGTCGAAGCGTGCGGGTGAAAATTGACCAAATCAGACTATCCCCACGTTTCGGGGGTGGAGGGTTTACATGTAATTTTTTAAAGCACTACAAGGCAGCACACAAAGAAGCCTTACACACATTCCCAAGCTAACAAACAAAATATACAGAAATGGGACCAGGGAGGGCTGCAGCACGTAGGTTCTGATCCACCGCACTGGAGCGCGAGACGGCCCACCCTTGAGGCCTCTCTGCTGCGTGTCACGGGAGGGTCTGCCTGTCCCACCTCCGCCCCAGAGACACTAAGACTGACTAATTAGAGTGACATGGCCAGTGACGCATGTACATGTAGAGAAAGCAGGCCAGCTGTACTTGCAGAAGCACATGACCACAGTTTCCTTAACACATCAGGCTTAACCCGCAGCGACGGGGTGACCCCGACCAGGCCGCTGCAGTTACGACTGATGGAGCTTTGAGAGACCGCTGCCCTCAGCGGCCGCCCAGAGCGTCCCGTCCCACCAAGTTAAAAACTCTACACAATGCAGATGTACATCTGAGGGCAGCGCACGGTGCAGTGAGGTCCCCACGAAAATCAGAGTACTGGCAGTGCCACTGTGGGAAATGGTAGCTACTGCATCAGAACAAGAAGGTCTAAAACAAAGCAGCGCATTTTTCAGTTGCTCAGACAGGTGGCACCACAGCAAATAAGCTGCCTTCAGACCACGGTATGACAGTCTGAAGCCGGATCACCTGCCAGACGATCGAGTCGTAAACCAGTAAACGACTTCTGGTGATGAGCCCCAGCAAAATCAGGAAGTACTGTAATTACATGACCACACATGCACGCACACACACACACACACATATATATATACATACACAGCACTCCCAACCCAGACCACCCAGTTTGATAAAATGCCGAATAACAATAAAAATGATACTATGGCGTGCTTATGTCAGCTTCCGATGGACATTGGAACAGCATCAATCCGGGAAATCCCCCAGATGCAGAGAGGGCACCCCATGACAGCATGACATCATCATGACAAACTGTGCGGGAGGAGGGGAGCGGCCTCACACCAGGCAGCCTGCGGAGGCTGCGGACAAGTCGAACGCCCCCTCCCTGTAAGGGGGTGTCACTGCAGGCCCATGCCGACTATATAGCCGGGAGGAAGGCCCCAAGACCTTATAAATTTAGCTTTAGAACAAAAACCAGCATGACCCACAGCTTTGATACACAGTGGTGTTAAAAAAAAATACAAGTAATCCAAACACCAACATAATAAATTAAATTGTTATCCTGACAACAAAGGAATCCATTGGGTTTAAAAGTAATATAGTGGCTACCCCCCCCACCCCCCCACCCCAAAAAAAAAAGAAAATAAAATCAGGATTTTCCCATGAACCTTTGCTGCCTGTGGCCTACCTACAGAAGACCCTCTT